AGGGTGTGCCTCCTGAGCAACCGGTAGAAGGGAACTGTGTTTTCTTGAGATGAGGAGCAGGTTCGGATAGGAAAATCAGGTCTGGCTGTGGCCCACTGGGTGTTTGATGCCCTGGCAGTACTAGTCCTTCAGAATCCCCAGCTAGCTTGCTCTCATGACAGAGCCCTGGGCCAGTATCTAGTGGTGCACTGTTCTTTGTCCTGCTCTCAAGATGCCATGTCTGTCATAGATGGATGTACAGTTTAATTCAGGAGTTTTCTATTGTCACAATGTCCCTTGACATTTCTGGAGACATTTTGGGACAGTAGACTAGCTTGGTGAGCTATGGGGACAGTTTCCAGCCACCCTTGAGTTTTTTATGGTAAGAGGATTCAGTCTGTTCACTAAGCCTGATGATATTAATACCATAGAATTTTTTCCTTTCTGAAGTCAATTTGCTCATTTCTTTTTTAATGATTGTCTGGTCAGACTGCATTGCTCCTAGAGGCTCAGAAAACTGTCAAAAGCTGGGTCAAAGGTTCAACATAGACCATTTTGCCCCTACAAGCCCAGGCAAAGCTACCTCCCCTGCCATCAGGTGACCAACTCCCTACTCCTTCACTGCCATACAGGAGCTCACATTCATTTAGCTCAGTGCTTCTGAGCTCTGGCTGCCCATTAATCACCCAGGAAGCAAAACCCTTCACCCCCTTGATGCTGTCTAATTGCTTTTTTCAGTGGAACCCTGGCGCTGGTATCCCTCTTCTCTCACCCTTTTAAATACTTTATTTTTTAGAGTAGTTTTAGGTTCACACCAAGATAAAGCAGAAAGGCGACTTGCCCCCCCACCCCCCATGTCCCGGCCACACACCACTCCCCTGCTGTCAACATCTCCCATCACAGCGGTACATTTAGCCTATACTGACACATCATTACCATGCAGAGGCTAGAGTTCACTTACCATCTGTTTTACATTCTCTGGGTTTGGACGAATGTATAGACATGTTCCCACCACTACAGTATCATACAGAATTAGTCTCACTGCCCCAAAACTCCTCTGTACTCGTGTTTTTAAAAAGCACCCCAAATGATTGCAACATTCAGCCAGATTTGAGAACTACTGGTTTAGCGCTTACTGGGTGCCAGGCTTTATGCACTTTATGGGAATTAACTCCCCAATCTTCATGTCACCCTCTGCTGTAGGTGCAGTTATTGCCCTGAGCAGTTTGTAGCTCGTCACACAGTGGACGGGCAGTGTGTGAACCCAGAAAGGCTGCTGCTAAGTCTGCTCCTTAACCACGATGCCATACTGGCTTTGCCCTGTCTCTCTGATCTGCTCAGAACTGCATTTGGTTGAAGACAAAACTTAGAATTTCTGCTGCTGTTTGCTCGCATGCTGAGCTCCTGAGCAGAACTCTGTGTCTTCCCATCCCACAGTGTCTGTCCTTCAAGGCCCTATCCCCACCAGCTCATTTCTTGACTGTCCCTTACACACACCCTGCTCTTTCCAGCTCCTGTGCATCTCCCAGGAATGCCCTCCCCTCCTGCCCACCAGCCAAAGTTTCATCCTTCCCTGCTGTGCTCAAGTTCCACGTGCCTGGCTCTGTTCCCTGAAGATCCAGGCCACCCTGACCTCTCCCCTCCTAGCCACCAGGCACCCACTGCCTTGACTGTGCCTTTTGGTACTCGATGACACTAGAGTTTGCGCATCACATACTGTTCCCTGTGTAAGGCCTGCAAGTCTAATCTCGGGAAAATTGGCAGCTCCCCTGGGGAAAGAACCAAGTCGGACACCACCAGTTTCTTGTCTCCCTTCTCAAGTCCATGCAAGGAGCCGGGCACATGTAATTGTAGGTCCAACAGAGCACACTGGAGAATGGGGTGTTCCTGCTCGACCAGAGCCCACAGGCCATGTCAGCCAGGCAAGGCAGGAGGGCTATACTCCCGCCCGGCCCACTGTGTGGAGGTGGTGAGCCTCTTACAGAATAGTTTCTGTTCCCCGCAATGGCTGCTTTGATCCTCTTCCCAGTGAACTGGAGCCTGAGGTCCAAACTTCTCTGTCTGGGATGGAAAATCTTCCATATTCTTCATATTCCACTCCTGGTGGGTGACCATACTCCTGATGTGCCTGGTTCAGCCTCAGTTTCCCTGGCATGGCCCCAGTTTCTGCCTGTGGTCTCAGTGTAGGTATTAATCATGACCCTTTTCACTCTCAGTTTAAACAGCAAGTGATGCAGTCGCTCTACTTTTCAGGCTACTATTCCCCCGGGTTCCAAATAAAGAACGGTTTGCCGTTTCCTGTGAAGGCATGGAGCTTCCTGACCTCCTCTCCATGCTAGACTGTTCCTTCTGCCTGGAATGATCCACCTTCCCAACCCAGGCACATACCCTCCTTCCAGACAAAGCCCACCCTATGTCCTAGACCTGCTTCAGCTTGTAAGTTCCCAGGAAACCTTCCCTCATTATCTTGCATCTCCTGCCCCCCAATCTCTGTGGTTGGTCTATCTTTTTAATGGCACTTAGCACACACTGTCCTGTACTGTAGCTGTGTGTATAGATGCCTTGTGTCCTTTATTAGATGGGAAGCTCCTGAGAAATGGCCTGGGAATTTAACATCTTCATCTTCTACACAGTAGCTAACACAGTGCCTTACATGTGTTAGACATTTCTTCTAATTTTTTTAGCTGAGATACTTAAGATAGTCACGTCTTCTCTGGACCTCAGTTCCAACAGCAGTAAAACCTGTCATCTCTATGTCAGTCAGAGTCTAATCAGGGAGACAAAAACCATTTTCAAGCATTAAATGCAGGGTTACACAGGTGATTGAGCCAAACAGGTCAGTGAGGTCACCAAGAAATGAGCATCAGCAGAAGCGACTATCTCCTAGGCTGCAGAGATAAAGGGGGGTGGCAGGACTACCAGATCCTAGAGTTCAGGGGGGGCAGAAGTGGGACCTCACTACAGGGGAGGTGTAGCCTATTAGAAATGCCACCCGAGGCTGGCTTCTCTCTTCTTCCCACCCTCCAATTTCTCATCACCTTTTGGTCAAATGTGGCAGGAAGCCAGGGGTTCTGGGAGCTGGGGAGCCACAGCCTTAAGGGGTCAACCCTGTGATACAGAGCAGAGCAGGGAAGGGCACAGAGCAGGAGGGGCCCCAAAGCCGTGTTCAGTTCTTCATATGTGTGGTTCAATAAATCTGCTGGATACATAACTGAATTCATTGGTAAATGAATAAGGGATCTCCTCATCGGTTTGAAATGCACCGAGCTGCTTGTGGAAAATATGATCAAGAAATTCTAGTTCCGAGTATTACAATTCTTCCATCTGTATGATAAACATAGCTCTGGGGCATGAAAAAGCCCCACACTTTCTTAAGGCTTTAGGTATTCTGAGTAATCCAAGTCATAAAATTTATAGCAGCCCTTAAGCAAGTAATAAAGTACAGAGACTTAGTGTAAAAATATACTACAACCTTCACCTGGTGCTATGACGGTAGCAAGGACATGGATGTCATCACGTAAGAATTTATTGAGCCGAGCCCTCTCCAGCCTCCTGGCTACATGGGCAGGCAAGGCTCAGAAAATCCACAGGGTGGGGGGGACTTCAGAGGCATTCCTGGCTGCCCGGGCCAAGACACTGCCGCCGTGTAGTTCCCAGATCTTGTTTTCTTTCTCTGGAAAGTGGAATATATAATAAAATACAATAATATCTGAAGCCTAGAGGGGATTCCAAGTCCTATTTCTAGCCAATAGTTTCAGCTTCCTTTCCCATGCATTCTGCTTTCAGGGCACCTGGTTAGATTGAATTTCAGCAATTTTAATATTGTTAGGAGGGTTATTTGGGGAGCAGGGATTTGACCTCCAAGAAACAAAAGGGAGAAGAGCAGCTACATGAGCTGGAGAAATCTGCTTTTCAGCCCATGTGGAAATAACTGATTCTATTTTATTTGTGCCAGTAAAATTGTCAAGAAATAGATATATGAAACAATGTGTGCGAAACACAACATCCTTCGTGTATTAAAACAATGATGACATTGATTGAAATGTAGGGATTTAGGAGTATATCAGTTTTGTTAGGGCCATTCGGCTGGAAGCTAGAAAATAAAAGGATTCCATGTCTTCCTTTCATACTTGTTACATTCTATTCTCCAGCCTCTTGTCTTCATATTCTTATTTTATAGGGTTACTAGTCCTGGGGCTTCTTACCCTGTCCTCTTAGTTCTCAGTCACATTTGTAACTCTTGTTCCCCAGGCACAAAACCATCCTCAGTTGGTGGGATCCTGAGGGACTTTTAGGATTAGTGCTCCCTGTCAACCCCCAGCACTGATGGAACCAACCTCGTACTGCACAAAATTAAATCACATAGACGCATGTATTGAGCATCAAATCAGAATCTCTGGTGGGAGGAACCCAGACATGTCTTTTTTCTCTTTGTAAATCAAGAAATTGAAGCCCAAAGAGACTGAGTCATCTGCCTAAGAGAGCATTTAAGTGACTGTACCGCAAAGCAGTCCGTCCTCCACACCAGCCCATCTTCAAGTCCAAGAGCATTTGTCTGCCGGGTTGTTACAGGGTTGGGAGAATGCTGAGAGCATTTTAAAGCTTCCCTCAGTGAAGAGTTTTAATCATGGAGCTGAGGACAGGGGCTAGACTAGGGCAGATTAAGACACCAGGACACTTGCTGCTCTTGCTGAGATTCGGCCACTTTTCTTTTTTTATTTTGGTATCATTAATATACAATCATATGAGCAACATTGTGGTCACTAGATTCCCCCCATTATCAAGTCCCCACCACATGCCCCATTACAGTCACTGTCCATCAGTGTAGTAAGATGCTATAGAATCACCACCTGTCTTCTCTGGGCTATACTGCCTTCCCCGTGCCCCCCTCTACGTCATGTGTGCTAACTGTAATGCCCCTTATTCCCCTTATCCCTCCCTCCCTAACCACCCTCCCCAGTCCCTTTCCCTTTGGTAACTGTTAGTCCATTCTTGGAGTCTGTGAGTCTGCTGCTGTTTTGTTCCTTCAGTTTTTGCTTTGTTCGTATGCTCCACAGATGAGTGAAATCATTTGGCACTTGTCTTTCTCTGCCCATCAGCCACTTTTCTTGAATAAATGCTCCTCAGATTGCCTTTGGTTAATTTTCAGAACTCTGAAAAAGTTGGTTCAGACAAGTTTTGCCAGTTTTCTTGTGGAGAGAAAATTTCCAGAAGTCCTTACTCTGCCATTTTGCTGATGTCCTCCACCCTTCTGCTTGTACCATGCAACCTAGCACAGAATTGACCTACATTGTTATGATAAATTAACATTTGTCGTATTTCCCAAACTAGAGATATGGAAGGCTTTGTATCCTTCACCAGAAACCTGGCAGTTTCCCAATACTTCAAAATTATTCTGGTAAGATCCATAGTAATACTAATGAATGTGGTTTTCAAAAACATGTAATGAAATAAACTAATATTTGGAAGATTTCATGAACCAAGTTTTTCCAAATGACCAATACATGATGTTACAAAATCATGCATGGGTGAAAGAGTCACATAAAATGAATATAGACCAATGGATTTTATGTAACAAGTATGAAAGGTTGATTGATATGGTTTCAGATTCCACATTGCAACTAATCTTTATATAGTATCAAAGATTATCTGCAATCATATGAAGAGTATTAAATACTCCCTCCTTTTCAAACTACTTATCTGTGTAAGGCCAGGTTTTCTTCATACACTTCAACCAAGACAATGTATTGCATTACACTGAATGCAGAAGTAGATACAAAAATCCAGCTGTCTTCTATTAAAGATAATGTGAAAAAATGTAAAGCAATGCCATGCTTCAGAAATTGTACTTTGTTTTGGAAAAAAATTTTTTGTAATAATATGCTATTATGCTAACATGTAATGAGCTTATTCTGTTATTTTAAAATGAGTAAATGTTTTTTCCTCAATTTTAATTTTGATATGTTAAATATTGTAGATATAAACACCTGTAAACAAATGTTTTTCAGAGTCCTCAATTATTTTTAAGAGTGTAAAGGGGCCTTGCTGCCAAAATGTTTGAGAACCTCTGATTTAGATCCATTCAGGGGGTTTAAACTCAGAGGAAACCCCATCCACTTAAGGCAGCATGTGACTCCTTTTCTTTAATATGGAAATTATTAATTTAGTAGGAACCTCCAGTATTCAAGCAAGACTCACAGCAAGTGGGGAGGAAAGCTGGTGCGTCCTTCAGCCAAAAGGAAAGATACAAGGAGGGAACACAATTAATTAATTGTTCAGGGAATCCCACCTGGGATGGTTTTGCATTCCTGTCAAGTCACCGTGGGGCACACAGGTCACTCTGCCAGCATCTTGCAAAGATTCGAAAGCTCAATCCTGCCCCCACCATCTCAGCTGCTACCACCGCTGAGATCTCTTCTTTGAAGTTGCCTTGCCCTTCCACGTGACCACCCAACTCAGCGCAGACTTGACCTACACAGCTCTCTGAGAAATTCCTGTTACTTTCCCCAGCAGATTTTTAGTCATTTTAGATGTGGACATGATGTCTCACACATCTCTTTGACTTCTCCACAGCCGTTAACATAATATTGGGCACTAGAACATACTCCATGTGAGTACGTTGGCTGACTGATGAAGATGGAGACTTAAGAAGGAAACACTTTATTGGCAAAAATGATCTCTCTACACTATCATTTTCCTTCTCTAAGTTTTTTTAACAATGTACTCAGAGCCAGACTTCAGGGTCAGAAGGCTCTGGTGTCCTAGTCAAGCTCTACCACTTACTAGCTTTGTTACTTTGGGGAAATCACTCAACTTCTTGGAGCCCCAGTTTTGTTTACAGGGAGCACGTAGCTTACAGGGAGCACGTAGCAGGTCACTGAACAGAAGAGGCACTCAACTTCCTTCCCTGATTTTCTCCCCACTTCTTTAGGATGCTTAGAGACAATTATCAAGGACATGCCAACCACTAACCATAACTCTCTCAAAGGGGATCATTAGCCAGTGAGAAGTTAATTATACTTGATTCAGTTCCTTCTCCTCTTGAGTGTACTTAGGATGCCTTGTCAATCTTCTATCAGCTAAAACACATGTTCTATGAAATCATACATTGCTAAATCGTAACATTCTCCCATCTGTTTTAGTCATTCAGGATTTAAATACATTTAATCCAATTATTTTCTCCATATTTTTCTGAAGTTCATTTTGTTTTCCCTTCTTGATTGTTGGGAACCATCTCTGTTCCCCTCTTTACTGCTTTTTACCTGGGCCATATTTTCTTCTCTTTCTTTCTCTCCTTTTCATGCAAGTCATGGTACCTTGGGATAGTTGGTTTCTCTGGCAGAGGGGTCATGGTCTGGATAAATCAAGAAATCAAAATTACTTGGGATTTTCCAGTAGCCCACAGTGCTGTTTTAAGTTCCTCATAAGCCCTGAACTGAGGCTGACTCTCCAGGAATGAATAGAGAAGAGGCACGAAGGGAATGGTGTGGGAAACGCACACTCAGGCACAGGTCACTCTCTCTTCATTCCTCCCCCATCCTCAACTCAGGAGACCTAAGCCTAATTAATGATGGCGAGGGGAGGATTCTCTAAGGGTGGGCGAAGGACAATATGCTGCAGGATGTATCTGGGATCTTTAAAAGCAGATCCTCAGGCCCTCTACCCATGGATTCGGATGCAGGAACTTAAAATAGACTGCCCTGATGATTCTGCACACTTCTCGAGAGCCATTGAAAATCTGGCTGAGTACTTCCACAGCCTTTTTTTTCTTTTATTGAAGTATCGTTGATATACAGTCTTATGTTGGTTTCAAATGTACAACACAGTGGTTTAACAGTTACCCATATTCTTAAATCCTCACCCCTTCTAGTGCGGTTACTATCTATCAACATAGAAAGATGTTACAGAACCACTGACTGTATTCTCCATGATGTACTACAGTCCCTGTGACCAACTTAGATTGTGATTGGGAATTATTGTGCCCTCTCATCCCTCTCCCATTCCCCCACCAGCCCCAACCCCTCCCCCTTGGTAACTACTAGTCACTTCTCAGTGTCTATGAGTCTACTGCTATTTTATTCCTTCTTCCAGAGCCTTTAAAAAAATTGGGTTATATTTGATATACAATATTATATAAGTTTAAGGTATACAACATACTGATTTGATATATATTGCAATATAAAAGCCATAGTCATGGTAGCTAATACTTCCATCCTGTCATACTGTTATCATTTTAGCACTGCTACATTCTTACAGAGTACATTTGGCATAAAGTTTCTGTGTTGCAAAGCCCCTTCACATTGATTTTCTCATTTGAACCTCAGGATAACATCAAGTAGATGGGAACGGGTACGGATTCCCTAGGAAGTTGCCCTAAATTTCAATCTTCCTGTGCCATTAGCCAAGACATATCCAAATAACAGCTGTGGGTCAGGCTTGGCCAACCTCAGCCACTCCTGAGTGATTTCTATTTGGGAACCAGGTTATCAAAAATACACGATGTTAACAAAATTGGAATTAGTCTAGGATTTTTGAACATGAGGCCTATGTGTGCAGGCATCCAACACTTGAGGGCTTATGAGCACATATGAGCTTGGGGAGTCACAGGGGTCCTTCCAGTGAGGATGAGTGAGGATAAGGAGGACTGTGAATGTCTAACTCGGACCTGGGTTAGCTATTAGTGCATTGTTTACACAGACTAGTCAGTAAATATCTAAGCATTGCCTCTAAGTCCAAGCCAGACCCATAGCTCCTGCCTTCTGAAAACGGTTATTGACATCAGAGCTGGATAATACACAGAGTGATGTCAGCAGTGTTACAGTTACAATGAGATCAAATAAGGTAAATAGAGTACAAATTATAAAGCAAGTGTAACAAGTTTTTATTGGGACCACAGAGCCTCGAGAAGGGTCTTAGTGGGAAAGGTCAGCAAAGGCTCCAGGCTCCAGGTGGCTCCAGTCAGTAAAGGGAGGGGCCACGGGGCACCGTCTCCCCTGGAGCAGGGAGCCCAGGCTCAGCAGGATCCAAGATTCAGTTTCTTCCCTGCTGGGCCAAAGCCGAACACCTGACTTGGTCTGTACAAGTAAGGTGGCATGTGGACATGGTTTCCAGCCAGAGGGGTTCATGGGCTGTGGTTGAGACTTTATAGTCATGTTAAATTAAAGAGGAAATGATACTCTTCATCATGCACACAATCCTGGTATGATATCATCTTTATAGCCTCCTGGCAAGAACCATTCCTTCTTAGCATGGCCTTAAAAAGAGTTATTGCTCACAGTTCCACTACATGAAGTAGAATAGCTCAGTTATTTGTTTTGTGTCTTGCTCCCCCAAATAATGCTTTTCCAAATTGCCAAAGCATAACAATAACTTTTGAAAAGAGGAGAGAAGAAGAAACTAGAATATAAGATGTCTCCTTATTAAGCTAAATAATTCTCAGGATTTGGAGGTAAGATTGTGGAAAGTCGAAGGGAAAATGCTGAGCCTCCCTGGAATCTCAGCATAAGGGCAGCCAGAGCCCAGAATCTGGTTGCCTGTGACCACAAACCCCTTTCCAGGGAGACCACAGTGCTCCTGAGTGGACAGTGAAACTCAGTCATTTTCTGTATGTGCCATGATGTGAAAATTAGCATGCAAGTCCAGACCTGGCAGACTTACCTGTGTGTTCTCTTCATCCCAGCTGTACCAAACATGACACTGCTGTTTATCAGATCTCTGCTAAAAACTGCTTTGGAATGATCTGCTGTTCTGCTTCCATTGAAGTCGAGTGCTCAGCAGAGAACCTACAACTCTCACTGAACGCAAAAGATGATGCGGACACAGTTTGCAAACACGGAACAGAGACACACGAACCGGAGAGCACAAACCAAATCAATGGCGAAGAACATCCGGGTAAGGAAGAAGAAAGCACCTCCTTGGGTACCCCCACGGCAGCTGGGTCCCCCTCCTCCAAATTCAACTGTTTATGTTCACTCCAGTTATTGGCCAGGAATGATATTAGCACGTCCAGTTTTGAAAGTCCCTTGGACGTTAAAGGAACAAGACACCCCAAGGAGGCTTACGATCTGGATAACACAGAGGTTGTTCCAGATGGAGAACTTTTTCCTAATTCGAGTAGTATTCCTGATAAGCAAAACGTGTTTTGCCATAGGACAATGCATTCCAAAGTGTCGAGGTTAATAGATGATGCCTTAAACAATGGTAACTCTAATGAGGAAATATTAAATTCAAGTCATCAAAATCCCAAATTACAGAAATACATTAGCTTCAGCCGACCGCTGTCAGAGGCAGCTACACCCACTTGCCCAGATGGCAGGGCCACGATCGACAAGCAAGTCAGCCCACAGGTTTCCACCAAAGACTCTGACAGTGACTATGAACTTTGCCCAGAGATGACCCTAACCTGCACCGAGGAGTTTTCAGATGATGACCTGGAGTATCTGGAATGTTCTGATGTTATGACAGATTACTCTAACGCAGTTTGGCAAAGGAACCTCCAGGGGACTGAACATGTTTTTTTATTAGAAAGCGATGACGAAGAGATGGAATTCAGTGAGCGTTGCCTGGGTGGGTGTGAGCATTTCCTCGGTGAAATGGGTTGTGGGCCTCGGGTGTCGGATGACGCTGGGCCTATGGATGCCACCACTGGCTTCTGGGGTTATCACTCACAACCCCAAGATGCGGGGGTGAGGAGCAACCCAGCCTCTGCCCCTAGTCCCTCGTCCTGGCAAACAGGGACGACTCTGACTTTGGGACCTCACCAGGATGGGACGTCTACAGTGACAGACCAGGGGAGATACAAACTCCCCACTCCTCCTGGGCCTCCTGAAAATGATTCTCCAGGAATTCCAGGAGAAACCAGAGACCGCCACCAAGCAGGGGAGGAATTCACCCGTGACAGTCTGCTAAACATGGATAAAGCGGTAACAGAGACAGAGATGAAGCGTCCGTCTGGTGAGTCAGAAGGGTCATCGATGAGCCAGTGTTTGGAGATTCCAGCTGAGAAAAGAGCAGGGGACAAGAATTGGTTGAGCAAGAGGGGCTCGGAGAAACCTGCCAGGGTGAGGCGACTGGTAATGAGGGGGAAAGTCAAGGAGCTGAGCCCCTACCCGAAAGGAAGTGGGACAGAAAGCACCCTTCATCTCCTCTGTCCCAAAGAACCTGCTAAGCACCCACTAACCCAGAGCGAAAAAAGAGAGGGTTCTCACGCCAAAGCAGAAGCTCCTGATCTGAATCCCCAGTTCCCTGCAGGAGAATGTGCTATTGCAACCCACGCAGAACAAGAAGCAAAACCCTCCCCCACTCCACCAGGCTTGCTCCTCCAAGAAGGGAGCTCCAACTTCAAGGGAGAAGGGGTGCGGTTTAATCACCTATTTGAAACAAGCCCGGTTCCAGACCAGAGTGATCATCCTCAGGTAAGACTCCTCTTCTTAAAAAAATTAGAAGATAAAAGGTGTGTGTGTGTGTGTGTGTGCGTGCATGTGTGTCCCTTCATTTCACATTCACGATTGATGTACCACATGTAAATCAAAATAAGTCTTCTAGTACGGTCAGGGTACTTGTGAATGACAGCTGCTGCTGCTAGGAAGGAAATCTGGTTTTGAAAAAAGGCCCAGATAAACCCTAAGCCATTCTATTTATAGCAGAAGTCAGATAGAAGTAAGAGGCACCGATGGGATTCTGGAGACAGCTGAAAAAAGAAATCTGATATTTTGTCTACTGCATGTGTTTTACTAGGCAATGTTACTATTCAGGAACTTTTTAAGCAAATGTTTTGGGTGTGACCTTTAAAAGAAAAAAAAAAAGCCCCAAACATTCTTTTTAGTAATTGTTTAGGGGCACTTTGAAAATGGTATGTGTTGGCTTTAATCAGAATTCATGGTACAAATGAAAGATTTCAGTGTGTCTAAAAGATTTGTAGAATTCCCTTAGTGATGCTGGAGAAGGTAAACAAAGTAGATTTTCTGGGCTCAAAGACCAAAGTAGGTTTTTGAATGGATGTTTGTTTTATTTTGTTTTTCTTAGATCACAAAGTATAAAGGAGGCTAAGGAAAGACAGACAGGAAGTAAATTTGTTTTATCCTATAACTGATTTGAAAGTATATTTGAAAAAGATGGAATTAGATTAATGGGAATGATTAATGCACAAAGGGTATTGTGCTTAATATATGAATCTATTCTATTTTTAATTTTAAAAGGTTCCAAATGAGCTTTGAACTGATGCTATACTCTGGCCAAAATTTGACTTTTATAAATAAAAACCTAAGACAATTTATTCACCAAATTGTTTTTACTGTACTTTGTGTTCTCCCTTCCCCAAAATTTGTAGTAGAAACCTACTACAAAAGGTTTTTAGAGAACTAGACATATGCCAAAGAAAACTATTTCCAAGTGCATTCAAAGTTATTGAACTTTCTCTGTGAAAAAATAGAAATTTAGTTTGATTTCTGAAGACCCCATCATAAAATAGCTGCTTGATCAATCTCCAGATCTGAGGTAGCTATTTACTGAGCATGTTGTTCTGTTCTTCTGGCCAAATTAGCCAGGCAAAAACACATTTATACTTTAGTTTTAGCAAGAGAGCCGGTTTTATTCTATTTGGTTAACACACGCCACTTTGCTGACCGCTCACCAATGGCCACAGACTGATGCCCAAGATAAGTTTGTGGAGGTGATTTGCCCCAGTATTCACACAAAATTATGTTACAATGTTAATTTTTTCTTGTCAATAACACATTTTTTTTCTATTCGTAAAATTCTCTTCATGGCTCAGCTGAGTGCATTTTTACAGTTATTTATCCTCATTGAGCCCTTTCATTTGGCAAACTAATTATTAAAGGTGCAAGTGTAAAATGTCCAAAAAGAAGTGACTGGAGGGGAGGGGGCTATTGACAATGATAGTTTTAGACCTACCACTGTGGGATGCAATTTCTAGCTACCTCAATACCAAAAGCAAGGAGTCCGTTTTGTCATCCTCATCTTATGCCGAAAACAAATTCTGAGATGGAGAATCTAAGTGACCAGCAAGCCATCTCTGGGACCCAGTTATCTGTCTTGTGCACAGTCTTCATTCTTGTTTCTATTAAAATTCTTATGGGATGCTTGTTCACACATCCACATACTCACACATTCATGAATGCACACCTGTCTCAACAGCTATCAGCTCAAGGTGCTACCTATGTTTTGTGTTTGCGGCATGACTAAGGCAGTTAACTCGAACCATGAACATGACTTTTTAGGAAGCTTATATTCTGCAGGTAGTAGGACTGTTTCTCACTTTGCTGGGCTCAGTATCTGAGGCAACCTCTCAGTCAAGGGACAGCCAGAAACGTGAATGGAAGCTGTAGGTATATTCAAGAGCAGTTCTGTGCAGCCTGCAGTTAGAAATAGAAGAGCTGTATCTGTGGCATTTCTTATCCTTTGATTAAAGCAGAAAAATTTTGACACTGGGATAGTGACATAGTGAGTGCAGATTCTTTTACTCCTGTAAAAATTTCCTACCTAACTGTAGATGTCCTTGTTTCTCACCCATGTACACAATATGGCTAAATTTACAGCAAATGGCTAGGTAACACTGTAACTGTGACACAAAAGCATTAGGACATCATTGGGAACCAAATCAAACTTTTTATAATACTGCTAAAAAAAAAAAAGGATGGTGAATCTTTCAATAACAAAATCAGAAGACATTTCAAATATTTATTTTTGAACCTTTGAGGCTTGTGGGAACTTAAAATTTGAAATGGTTTAATTATGTAATATATAATAAATAAAATATGCAAAAAAAAATTGAAATGGTTAAAGATTCTTGATTGGGAGTAATACTAAAAAACTTGCCCATTCTTGACTCTTGCCTGATTCACTTACCTTTAGGTGTCTTTTAGTAGAAACAGTGATCAGCAGCTTATCTTTTAGTTTTTTCTTCATCTGTGTGCTGCTTTTAGCATTCTAAGAAAATTCCCATCCCTCTAATTCTGCGTGATAAGAACAAGGCTGTTTTATCGACTGTCCTGACTAATCCTGGGTCTCCAGGTGTGTTTATTTCCTGTCTTCCTTTCCTGCTTTTACAATGCAAGGCCATCTTGTTCTGATTTGTTTTAAAATAGGACTTACCCAGGCTATGATTGGAAAGCCCCCAGTTGCTCTACATTTATGGAAGATTCCAGTGTTAATCCCAGTTTGGGAGTGGAAATCAGAGAGAGTACCCCAGGCTAACTTGAATCATCTTCAAGGATCAGACTGCCAGTCCTTCACCTTGGTTTTGATCTTGCTTTCCTGATCCAATTTAGAGGCAAGACCTGACAATCTGCCCATCTTAAGTTTCCCTGTGGCTCCACTGGGGTAGGATCATCTTCACTTTTAAATCAGAAGAGCTGTGTCTGTCCTGCATAGCTGCCCATCTTCATTGCATAGAGATTTGCATTTCTCCTTGGGGTCATGGGATCTCAAGCTTATAGTGTGGAAATATTTTCTTAGGTTCTGATGGTTAAGAATCCTCCTGCCGAGGAATTAGTACTAGCATAGCAGGTGAGCTCCATGATGGCAGGGAGTTTAGTCACTGTATTTTCACTGATATATCCCAAGTCCTTGGAATAATGCTGCCACATAATAGGCACTCAATAATCAATGAACACATAGCCATACAGTACTAGATTCCAAGTATAGGAGTTATGGCTCTAATGATCACCTCATGGCCTTCATTGTCATACCCTTTGGTGTCCCTCACATGCCAGCTTGCCACTAGGAAATTGCTTCCCATTGTTCTTTGGCCCT